ACCAAGACTTGATGACATGTTGCCGAATTAAGTGGATACACTATGTTTTCTAAAATTGACTTAAAGAGTGGATATCATCAAATTAGAATGTGAGATGGAATGAATGGAAGACCGCATTCAAAACAAAGCAAGCATTGTATAAGTGGTTGGTAATGCCTTTCGGTTTAACCAATGCTCCAAGCACCTTCATGAGGTTAATGAATTATGTACTCCGACCATTCATCGGTAAGTTTTGTGTTGTTTATTTTGATGATATTCTGGTTTATTGTCATAACTTGGAATCCCATGTGCAATACTTGAGGTAGGTTCTTGAAACCCTTCAAAAGGGATCATTAAAAAGAATTCTATCTTTTCAAGGGCAAAGAACAAGAAGATGCCTTCAACGAAATGAAGGAATGTTTAACCAAGGCACCTTTACTTGCACTACCTAACTTTGATAAGACTTTTGAGGTGGAGTGTGATGCTTCTGGAATCGGAATTGGGGCTATTTTGACTCAAGAAGGATGACCCATTGTATATTTTAGTGAAAAGTTTAATGGTGCCTTGCTAAACTATCCAACTTATGACAAAGAGATGTATTCTCTCATACGGGCACTTGAAGTTTGGCAGCATTATCTTCTACCAAAGGAATTCGTCATACACACCGACCATGAAGCCTTGAAGCATATCAAAGGTCAACACAAGTTAAACAAGCGACATGCCAAATGGGTGGAGTTTTTAGAGTCATTTCCTTACGTTATTCATTACAAGAAAGTTAAAGAAAACATTGTAGCTGATGCTCTCTCCAGAAGGTATGTACTCCTTAATGCTTTTGATTCAAAGTTAACTGGGTTTTCATATATTAAGGATTGTTATGCTACTGACAATGACTTTGAAGAGAAGTATAAGTCTTGTGAGAAAGGTGCATCTGAAAAGTTTTATAGGCACGAGAGATATCTATTCAAAGAAGGGCATTTATGTATTCCTCAAGGATCTCTTCGAGAAGTGCTTGTTCAAGAAGCACATGAAGTAGGTCTCATGGTTCATTTTGGAGTCAGCAAAACATTGGAGATTTTGAAACAACACCTCTATTGGCCTAAAATGAAGAGAGACGTTGAAAGAGTATGTGAAAGATGTGTCACTTGCAAAAAGGCTAAATCAAAAGTTATGCCTCATGGACTTTACATGCCTTTACCTATTCCTCAAGCACCATGGGTTGATATATCAATGGACTTTGTGATGGGACTACCAAGGACAAAGAATGGACGAGACTTAATATTTGTGGTAGTGGATTGTTTTTCCAAGATGGAACATTTCATATCATGCCACAAGACAGACAATGCAACACATGTGGCCAACTTATTCTTTTGAGAAATTGTGAGATTACATGGCGTTCTAAGAACCATAGTCTCTGATAGAGATGCCAAATTTCTTAGCCATTTCTGGAGGACATTATGGAGTAAGATTGGAACAAAGCTGCTATTCTCCATAACATGACACCCTCAAACGGTTGGGCAAATCGAAATGGTGAATCGAGTATTATCAATATTGTTGAGATCTATCATCAAAAAGAACATCAAAGCTTGGGAGGAATGCTTACCACACGTTGAGTTTGCATACAATCGGGTAGTCCATTCAACGACCAAGATGTCACCATTTAAGGTAGTGTATGTATTTAACCCCTTAACACCTCTAGATCTTCTTCCTTTGCCTCAAGAACACATGATCAACAAAGATGGCAAAAACAAAGTTGAGTTCGTTTAGAAACTTCATCAACAAGTTTGAGACAATATAGAAAAACAAACAAGGCAATATGAACAGTAGCGAATAAGGGACGCAAGCAACTAAAATTGGAGGAAGCTGATTGGGTGTGGGTGCATTTCAGAAAATAACGTTTTCCTTCCCAAAGGAAATCCAAGTTGTTACCAAGAGGAGATGGACCGTTCCAAATCATCAAAAAGATCAATGATAATGCCTACAAATTGGATTTACCTGGTGAATATAATGTAAGTGCAATTTTTAATATTTCAGATCTCTCTCTATTTGAAGACAACGACGATTTAAGGACAAATCGCTCAAAAGAAGGGGAGGATGATGTGAACACAACAACACAAATGGATCATGAAGTCATGCCTCAAAGACCTATCACTCGTACAAAGGCTAAACAATTCAGGGAAGTACTTTCTCATAAGTGCCTTAATGTTTTTAAAACTTTTAATGAGAAAGAACCCTTAGATAATAGGTTTTTTAATATGTTACATATTGAATATTAAATAACCTATAGTTCACATTCTTATATTATACATTATATAAGTTCATTTACTTAGTTTATTTCTTTATGTTATGCATGTAGGCACATTCGGCCAATACTTGGGAGCTACATTGGAGCTAAATGGAGCATGCAATAGAAAGGATACTTATATAGGAACGATTAGGAGAGCATAAAGAGCAAATTGGTGAAAAGTTATTTTGAGGCCGTGAGCTCATTGCTGGATTGAGCTGAAGATTTGAGCTACAAGATGACCTCATTTCAGCTGGAGAGCTGCACCATCATCATCACCACTTAGGACACTTTAAATATGTCCTAAGTTAAAATTTTTGATATCGTACCTTTTTCGCGAATATTTGCCAACTCAAGGGGTACCTCTTCACAAGGAGCTGCCATAATGTTCACCATGCTACAAGCCACCTATGGCCAACTCACCTTTAGCTCATTCACACCATAAGTAGCTCAAACATGACGGGACACCTTTCTCAAACATTATGACCTTTCATGAATGATGCTTCCCATGAAGATGCCTTTACACCCAAGAGCATGCTGATGAAGACATTGTAATCATTGGAGGTTTAAATCACCTAGGAACATGATATAAAGCTCCATGCTTATTTGGCCACAAACATGCCATGCACATAAGAGCTTTTGGAGCCAACATGAGAAGACACAACACCATTCGGCCAAGGGCACACTATTACCAACCCATACCCTTCGCCATACTTCCATTCCATCCAAACTATAACTTCTATCATCTTCCGTACTTAACCAAATCCTAAAAATCATTTCCATATCAATCCTTCATTTCTACTACATCTTTATCTTTCATTAACATATTACAAGTCATGATTTTCAAGTTTAAAGCAAGCAATTCCATCTCTTACTAGAATCACGATTGGGCATACATATATATATATGACTCAAAACTCATAAACAAGATTATATCAAAATGAATTAAAATGACCAAATCAACAACATAAACTAATAATCAATGAACAATTTAAATATAAAATAATAACTAAATAAACCACCTATGAAATTTCCCCTTATTTAATTCTTGTCCTCAAGCATTCCTCAATCAATACATCAAAACCATAAGTTTCCTTCTTCAATCTTTCTTTTTTTCCTCAAACATCCAAATAGATTAAGATCTTAACAATTGTTGAAATTAAGAAACAATCAAGCAAAGACGCAACTAGCAACAATTTTAAGTAAAGTATGTGATGTGATCCCAGTTATGTACCTTACATCATTTTCTGTAATCTTCTAGAGACCGTTTGATCGAGGTAAGTTGTTTATAATCGATAAACTTCAAGAAGATTATTTGAGCTTAATCTGGGAATTTCAAGCCAAGTTTAGATTTTTGAAAGCCTTTTTCAATCCAAAAGAATGACCTCCACCATCATATTCAAGGCTGGGATGTGAAGAAGGAACAACCAAGTTTAAGGGAAGATTTTATCTTTTACTTGCATGAATTTGCATGAGTGTTAGTAAATTTGCATGACATTAAGTTGCATAAATAAATAATCATGCTACTTCATTTAAGCATGCATTGCATTTAAAACATATATTTCATTTAATAAAGTTAGTTCATTAATTAAACTAGTTCATAAATCAAACTAGTTCATTTATTAAACTAACTCTTAATTGTTTCATGCATGTTTTCAATTAACTATTGAATAAATTTCACCTTTGTGTTTAGGTGCAAGAGGGAAGCTGAACAGTCTCAACAGATGCAAGAATATCAGTCAGAATGTATTCTAATTCTTGATGCGATACAGAAATATTTGATAATATAAACCAAACGAAAAGTATTCCTCTATCTCTTAGCTCTCCAATGCCTTTTGAATTACCTTAATTTGATATCGGGAGCTTGATATATGATCGATTTATTGAAGAGAGTGCAGGTTGGAATTTTAATATGGGAATTTCATGCATGGATGATTTGGATGAGTTTGAGCCAAGGAAGAGTCCTTTCATCTTCGACCAAGAGACAAACAATTGAAGGCTATTATAATGATTCTATTCAAATCAATTCAAGGATTAATTCTTTTCATCTTTTAAAGGTTGTTCATATTCTTGGAGAGGCAATGCATTCAATCCTTCATAATTCACCTATTCAAGTCTTACTTATCATTCTTTGAAGGCTATTCATGTGCTACCAAGGAACAAGCAATGAAGTGACGCGATCACGGTCAGACCTCGTCGATCGATTGTGGATCTAGGAAGGAAGCGAAACAACCTGCAAAGATAATGGTAACAAATGGATAGTTTACGGTGGTAAATGTGATGGTAAATGGTCGATTTAAGAGATGGTAGCGGAAGACTCGGATTTGGTAATAATATGGATAACGAATTATGGGATGGTGAAACGATAGTATCTTAAAGAAGACTCAAAGAAGAACCGATGTTAAAGAACAACGACCCCGACTTTATATTGCTTCGATAAGGGATGGTAAATCGGACTTTGACCCGCTATCTATAAAGAGATAGGAACCATAAGTATCAAGGTGAAAGGAATGACGCCACAAGTAACGAATTACTTGATAAGTCGATAAAAGTCACGAAGGACTCGGTTAGAGAAAACTCTCACAATTTCATTAAAACAAAGTCTATCCATTACAATGCAAAATGAAGCTATTTATAAGACTAGAAATACAAAGGCTAAAATTATAACATGCATGGACGTATGGTATAAATTGCATGGCTGATTGTTTCAATTTGCATGGCCTCTTGGTGCTTTTTGACGTGGACTCCTTTAGACATAATTTCAGCTCAAATTCTTGCATGATTTTCGGTCATATGGTTGGTGGAGTGTGTTGGCCGAATCTCATTAAAAGATATCTAGTGGAGATTAAACAAAGTGGAGATAAGTGAGCACATGGGCTGTTGGAGTGTTTCACGCACATGGTTGTCTTCAAGTGTGATTTGGCGTGTAGTGGCCTTCTTTGTGAGTGATGGTCTAGTCATGGCTGATTAAATAATACATGAGCTGTTGGAGTGTTTCACGCACATGGGATGTCTAGTGCCTCCTTTTCACGCACATGGGCTGTTCCCTTAAGTGCTTTGGCTTGTATGCTTTGCAATATAAAGCTCACGTGGATTTGTCTTCATCTTTTCCCAAGTGGAGATAATAGTTTAATCAAGGAAAAAGGCTGGTGGTGAATTTCCAACCAAATTCATTCTCCCCAAATGCTCATATTCTGCCGTGAATTGTTGAATAGGTGGGTGAGCCATTCTTAATCCTTTAAATGCTGGAACGTGCTGGAAATGTGTTTAAAATAATGCTCCATTAACCGTGCATCATGGGCATACTCTTTGGTGTTCCTTTAATGCTCCATAAGCTTCCAAAACGTTATCCATTCTTTATCAACACACATGGTCGTGTTATGTGCTGGATTTGTGTTCAAAGAATCCCTTAAAAACCGTCCAGCATGGGGCTGATCACTTGGTGTTCCTATATGATTAAAATAACAAGTTATTTTAATGTATAGTGCTGTTATAACAAGAACAAGTGCTGCCCATCACATGTTGTCTCCCACATATCCTTAATTGCCGTAGAGTGAGCTGGATAAGAGCTTCAATACGCTGCTCCAACTTGTGCTATATTTTAATAGCCTTGTTGTCGTTTTGTACCATGAAAATATGTTAAATAACCTCCTCAAAAACCGCCCAGTATGGAGCATGAGCTTTGTGTTCCCTACAAGTGCAAATAAACTAATATTAACGTGATATTATAAGTGATAAAACTTGCTGCCATGTGTGTCTTGTGTCTTGTGAGCCTTTGTTTGCATTAAAGAGCACGTGAACTTATTTTATAAATGAGCTAAATGTTTAATATGTATGATTACTAAAATATGCAAGGATGATTGCAAATGCACGGCAAATGATACATAAATGCAGAATAACACGTTAAAATAAGTTACACAAGTGATATGCTGAAACGTGAAAACATGAATAAGTAATTTTATTTCTCATGAACAAACACATATGCATGAATGCTAAGATGACAAATATTAATGAGCTAACAAATAATTAAATATGAATGCAAATGAATTGCACAATGATATGTGAACAACACGTGAACTTAGTTGAATAACCTAGGAACTAAGTTGAATGCAAATTAGCTACAAGTATGCTGTTTATGGAAACATGTTACATAACACGTGAACATCTTAAATACTAAGATGAAATGCAAAACTAATATGATACAATAATATGCTTGACATGAATGATGATTGAACGAAAATGTGAAACATGATATGCAAAGCTACTCTAACATACTAAACAACTTAATTACTAATATGCAATGTAATGCATAAATAAGTAAATAAGTAATAAAGTAAGGAATTACTCCCTTAGAGTTAATAAGGTAGAACGTCCTTGAGGGGTTTTCGTCATGGAGAAAACCGGCCCTAAACGTGCTCACATCATCCTCCCTTTCTTTTTGGCGATTTGTCCTCAAATCGAAATGATTTCTCATTGAAGACCTTCTTGATGTAGGATGGATGGAATCCTCATACCTTTCTCCAATGGTCAACCTCTTGACTTCATATTTGGTAACTTCATATTTCCTTGAATCATCATGAGGATGGTGGGATAGCTTTTCCTTCAAATCGTTTATTTGCAAATTGGAGAGTGGCAATTTCTTATCAAGATTGCAAAGATACTTATCCTCGCAACTCAATACATCAATTCCACGTTTTTGTATCGTCCCTCCAAATAGTAAATAAAAGTTAGTAGGTAAATCAATAACAAAAGAGTTAGAAAGATTAAACCTTGGATGATACTTGATGATATCATTGGGTACCAGTTCCTTGGGAATAGAAATTTTCATTAAGTCCTTCTTTGAAACATTGCTAGAGCATGGACGATGCTCGATCATCAATAGGGTTGGCGATGTGTTTATCATGTTTCTGGAAGTACTCGTCTTGTCCTCCTGCAACAATGAAGATCCAAAAATAGAAGAAGAATGGTTAAGGTTGTTAGTGCAAATTGAAATTTTACACTCTTTCTCCTTTGCACAAACAATTTCTTTTTCAAATTCTTCATTTTCACTCTCATTCTCATTTTCGACTCCAACATTTCTCACATCGATTTTCTTATTTTCATTGCTCTCAATGTCGTTTTCAACTTTCACTTCTTTATTTTTGCAAACACTTTCTTTTTGTAGTTGTTCTTGCAATTGTGTTTCTTTGACGAAATTGTCAACACACTCTTGAAGACGAGCTAGACTTTCTGGATTAAAACATGCAAAATTTCTTGGCTCTCTTCTCGTTGAACTTTTGACATTGCTTCGGAAATTGGAATCCTCTTCGTAAGATCTTTCGTTCCAATTGGATGTAGGAACGGGTCGAGTGTCGTCTCTCCTCTTGATTTGGCCCCTGATCTTCGGCGGAGGTGTTTGTGAACAAGAACGTTTTTCGATTATACGATCCATCGTCTTTATGATTGGGTTGAGACTTTCTTTGAGCAAACTCCTCAATTCTCGACTGAAATCTTGAAATTGAGAATTTGATAAAAAATCTCGTTCGTCATCTACTGTATAATCATTTGATCTTGTGTACTTTCGAGACATAATGAAAAGAAAAAGATTAATAAAAATAATCAAAATAACTGTTAGTAACATAAAAAGAATCTCACCAATTCACTCCAAAGAAAACTTGAATGTCGCTCAACACTCGTGTTTAACTCGGGATGGCTTTTACCCTTGGTGTTCACTCTTGCCTTTTACCGCTCAATTCTCTTTATGTCAAGTCCTAAAATGACTTTACTCAAAACATGCCAAAGAGGAAACTATGCTATGAAGCACAGTCCCAGTCTTCACAAACTTTCTTGAGGGGTGGTGATAGTGTCTTCATCCCACTAGATAACAATCTAGGAATTTTGGAATCAAAATAGAAGGAATGACGCCACAAGTATAGGAACTATACTTGTTTAATCGATAAAGTTCACAAAGAACTTTGAAGAGAAATAACTCACAAGAGTATATTTTATATAAGTGATGAGATGAGAACAAATGAAGGCAAGCCACTCTATTTATAGGAAATGAGAGGGCTTGGCCGAATAGTTACATGATGTTTCGGCTAGATACACGTCTTTAGGAAAATACATAATGCTTGAGATGAATGAATAAGCCCTTTGGGCTTGTAATGGTTCGGCTAACTCTTCATGAAAGGCCTTAATGATTCGGTCAAAGGGTGGAGAGACATCTCCCTTGGCCGAATAGTGCATGCTTGTTCATCTTGGCGCCAATTTCCTCTCCTTGGCTGAATAGTCATGTGCCTTATCATGTTTGGTGCCAAAGCTTCCATGTGCAAGGCATGTGGTGTGACCGAATAGGCATGGAGCTCTATCTCACATCTCTTGGTGATTTAAGCTTTCAATGCTAGCAATTCCTTCATCAACGTGCTCCTAGACGAAAAGGCATCTTCATGGGAAGCATTATTCATGAAAGGTCACAATGGTTTGAGAAAGGTGTCCCTCAATGTTTGAGCTACTTATGGTGTGAATGAGCTAAAGGTGAGCTGGCCATAGATGACTTGTGACATGGTGAACGTTTGGGCAGCTCCTTGTGAAAAGGTACCTCTTGAGGTGGTAACTATTCGCGAAAAGGTACAATTTCACAAATTTTGATTTAGGACATATTTGAAGTGTCCTAAGTGGTGATGATGATGGTACAACTCCCCATCTGAATTAAGTTCATCTTGTAGCTCAAATATTCAGCTCAATCTAGCTATGAGTTCACGGCCTCCGGACAACTTTTCACCAATTATTCCTTGTGCTCTCCTAATCGATCCCATGTAAGTTTCCTTGCTGTTACATGCTCCATTTAGCTCCAATGTAGCTCCCAAGTGTTGGCCGAATGTGCCTACATGCATAACATAAAGAAATAAACTAAGTATATAAACTTATATAATGTGTATATTATAAGATTGTGACTATAGTATATGATAATAACTTGTGTTTCATATATAAATGTATAACTTATTATCATAACTATAGGTATTATATATATATATGAAAATAACTATCTTATAACATATGAAATATGCATCTATAGGTATAAAGATAGAAAGTTTATTCCCTGGACAGGTTGGAATAGCCATGGTAAATATGATGCTGAATTGGATCACATCATCCTCCCCTTCTTTTAATCGATTTATCCTCAAATCGAATGATCGTCTTTTCCTTGTGTCCTTCTATTCAATCTTTATAAAAAGGTTCATATCCGTTGAAAGACTGCTTTGGAAGTTTTTAACCTGAAAAGAAAGAAAACTTTCATTAGTAAAAATGTGATCAAACATAACTAAAGTTAAGAAATACTTCTTTTAAATTGTATGTTCAAAGTTCATGTCTATTGAAGTCATTTTGCTTTGAACGTTTGCGCCCTTTTGCATTCCAAAAATCATGTCCCTTTGTTCTTCAATAGTTGTTTAAATTGATTCGTGAAAGATGATGACTCTTGGAATGGTGATGTTCTCATAAGTCACGCCCCTTGGTTGAAAAATTGCTTCCCTTTGATTTTCATTAGGCATAACTCTTGATTCTTGAAGGATCACGTCCTTTGGATGAAGAATTACCATTCTTTGCTTTTCAAAAATCGCACCTTTTGGCTCTTGAAAGGTCACATCCTTTAATTTCCCAAATCGATGGATTGTGTCACTTGAATCATCCTACAAATCAAAGGAAATTCCTGCATTGTCAAAGTTAGAAATATCTTCATTGACCTTACTCCTCGTCAGTAAACATCTTCGTAACAAGCACTTAGATGTATAAGCACTTGTTTTTGGAATGTTTTCTTCCTGGATTAACTTCGATTTTCCTTTCCTCATGGCCTCAACACTTTGTTTCATCTTGATTTGCTCAACTTGGACTTGTTTAGGCGTCAAGGGTGTTAGGATGATCTTCTTTCCTCCATGGTTGAATGAATACTGATTGGTAAATCAATCATGAATGGTCCTCCTATCATATTGCCATGGTCTTCCAAGGAGTAAATGCTAGCATGCATAGGAACAACATCGCACATAACCTCATCCTTGTACTTACCAATTGAAAAAGGGACCATCACCTATTTGTTGACATTAAGTTCACCTCGTTCATTGAGCCATTGTAGTTTGTAGGGATTTGGATGTTTCAACGTTTGCAATCCCAATTTCTCCAACATGATGGTACTGGCAACATTAGTACAACTCCCTCCGTCTATAATCATGAAACACACTTTTTCATTCACATGGCAGCGGGTATGAAAGATGTTTTCCCGTTGTACATCGTCTTCTACTACTTGAGCACTTAGACTTCTCTTGACCACTAGGGCTTCACTTTCCACAGGAGCACCAATTTCGGCTTCTTCCTCCACTTCTATTGGTGGTGCTTATTCTTCTTCATGGTTAAATTCAATCTCACCATTTCCAAGTAATAACATGGTGTTTCTATTGGGACATTGTGTGGATATATGCCCCTCCCAAGACATTTAAAACAACGTATGTCTCTTATTCGATCAGGGATCTCTTTTCCTCGATTCTCCTTACCAAGTTGGGATGCATTTGATGATTCGGCTTTTTCCTTGGTAGGAGTAGGAGTAGACTTCTTCAAATTGTTAGGACTCCATCTCGAAGGCATGGTAGTGTGAGATATAGATCTCCTTCGTAATTGCCTCTCTATTTTCATAGCCATTTGCACTATTTCATCAAGTTCGATATAATGATACAATTTTAGTGTGTTGGCAATCTCAAGATTGAGTCCAACAAGAAATCTAGCCACGGTTGCTTCATGATCCTCCTCAATATTGACTCAGATCATTGCCACTTCCATTTCTTTATAATAATCCTCCACACTCCATTGGTCTTGTTTCAAATTCTGCAATTTCTGAAACATGTATCGGTGATAATGAGTAGGAATGAAACGTTTACGCATGATACCTTTCATTTTGAGCCATGTTGAAATTGGTCTCTCTCCATTCCTTCTTCGAGTAATAGTAAGTTGATCCCACCATATCAAAGCATAATCAACAAACTCCATGGCTGCCAATCTTACTTTCTTGAGTTCGGAATAGTTATGGCAACTAAACACATGTTCCACCTTGCTTTCCCATTCAAGATAGGCTTCTGGATCAGTCTTCCCTTGGAATTGAGGAATTTTGATTTTGATGTTGCTCATATTATCATCAACATTGGCACGCCTAGGTCCTTGTATCAATGTTGGTTCTTCTTCATCATAAGGATTTGGGACATCATCTTCTGGAAGAGGTTGTTGCCTCCGAGGAGTATTATTGTTCCTAATTTATGGTTGATCTTGTCTTTGGTCTAGTTTCTCATGGAGAGCATCAAATTCAGTTTGAAACATTCTCATCATTTATCCAATCAGTGCTTGCATTTGCAAATTGGGTTGACCTGCATTTCCTTTAGGACTTTGAGACATGGTTAGTAAATAAAACAAAAAAAAATAAACCTTACCAGCACACTCACAAAGTCTCACAATTTCACTCCAAAGAAAAGATAAGATCACTCCACTCAATACTCGTGTTTACTCTCAGGAATATATATTTGGCTTTTAACAATTCCCCTTCTGATCTCACTCTCTCAATAGCCTTTTTCCACTCAAATTTCTCTTGCTAAGTCCTTTGAGGAACTTACTCAAGATTATATCAAGTTAATTCCTTCCTTGTGTGCATCGGCTACAAATAGGTTAGGGTAGAAAGAGTAGAAAAAAAATGGAAAGGTAAAAGAAAGGATTCAAAGGTATTAAAAGAAAGAAATGGTTGAAGACAAGGAAAATGAAAGGATAGAAAATGGAAGAGGTGACTTACAATTCAAGAAACTACACTTACTGCAACCTTTCTCAAGAAACAATAAGGTTATCTTCTCATAGTGTAGATGGCCTCTTTAATGTTCTTGTAATGGTAGAGTACTTTTCCTTTGCTTGCTTTCTCTTTTGAATTTCTTTTTCTTTTCTTTTTGACTGATTCTTCTTTTTGTCTTTTTTTTTCTTTTTGCACTCCAATTTTGTTGAAGGAGTCTTTTCTTTTTTCTTTTGCTTTGCACACCAATGACACTTTTATTGTCAATCCAACTATGCTCTGATACCACTTGATGTAAGGAGAATCTACACACTTTGATGAAAAGAGTAGATAGCCTTATTGTGTCTCGATCTAGGATTGACAAGTACTGATGTCCTTGAATTTATAAGTTTGGGCTGCAAAATAAGATAAGAAAAGAATGATTAATAATGGAATTAATAAAGGGGATAATAATATAAGTAATGAAAATAAATAATAAGAATAAAATGAAATAAAGAAAGAATAGAGATGGTTGCAGAATTGATGGAAGAGATGGATGATGGTGATGATGAAATGGCAATGGTGGTGATGGTGTATCTCAAACACGCCAAAGAGGAAACTATGCTATGAAGCACAATCCCGGTCTTCACAAACTTGCTTGAGGGGTGGTGATAGTGTCTTCAACCCACTAGATAACAATCTAGGAATTTTGGAATCAAAATGGAAGGAATGACGCCAAAAGTATAGGAACTATACTTGTTTAATCGATAAAGTTCACAAAGAACTTTGAAGAGAAATAACTCACAAGAGTAAGTTTTATATAAGAGATAAGATGAGTACAAATGAAGGCAAGCCACTCTATTTATAGGAAATGAGAGGGCTTGGCCGAATAGTTACATGATGTTTCGGCTAGATACATGTCTTTAGGAAAATACATAATGCTT